ATGTATGCATGTATTAATGTAATGTAATGTAACGTAATGTAATGTAATGTAATGTAATGTAATGTAATGTAATGCAATGTAATGTAATGTAGTGTATGCATGTATGCATGTATACTGTTTGCATGCATGCATGTATGCATGTAGGCGTGTATGAGTGTATGCATGTATGCGTGCATGTGCGTATGCATGCACGTATGCATGCATTCATGCATGCATGTATGTATGCATGTATTCATGTATGCATGTACGTTTGTGGCTATGTACGGATGTTTGTATGTATGTATGTATGTATGTATGTATGTATGTATGTATGTATGCATGTATGTATGCATGTCGGGATGGATGTTGGTATGTCCGTATGTATGTATGCATGCATGTATTTGTTTATTATTGAGGTACTGGATGTATGTATGCATTCATGCATGTATGCATGCATGTATGTATGTATGCATGTATGTATGCATGCATGTATGTATGCATGCATGTATGTATGCATGCATGTATGCATGTCTGTGTGTCTGTATTGCATGTATGCATATGTGTTGTTATGTATGTATGTATGTATGTATGTATGGATGGATGGATGGATGGATGGATGGATGGATGTGTTGCATGTAATGTATGCAATGTATGGACGGTATGTACTGTATGTCATGCAAGTATGTATGTATGTATGTATGTTTGTATGTATGTATGTATGTAACTACGGGTGGATTGAGGGATATGTTTATGTGTATGTGTACATGTTAAGAAGGGTCCCCTTTCAAGGGGTCTCCTGAATACTAGCTGGGACCTTTACTTTCCGGGCATCAGGTTCCAACTTCCTGGCTTCTGAATTAGGGAACTCAGTTGTCGAGTGTCCTAGGAGAACTAAAGGTCAAAATCATTCAGGGACTATCGTACCCCAAAAAGATTACCCACTCTACTACTAGGGATAGGTTTGTATTTGTGAGCAGCCTCTGATCATTCAGTCGATGCGTGCTTTTGAGCTCGTTGCTTGCAGGGTTGATCCTCACGAATCCCCATGCGTTCCTGTAAAGCCCATGAACCAAATGCATTGACAGCATGGTATGTGGGAGCTTGAGCTCTAGTTGTTGGTGCTTGGGCGTTCTAGGGATGTGAGGGTGCTCGCATCTCAGTTTGAGGGACTCGTCAGGATGAGGATCAACAGCACCTGGCTGTGCCAAGAAGACACAACCATAGTAGCAGCATGTAGCTAAGTATCTCCAGAAGTAGCAGTCACAACCGCGACTGACAGTGGACAATGCATGATTCGAAGAGGCTGGCTTAAAACCCCCCTATCAATCTATTGGTCAACAGAACTATCGATCTGTCGATGGATCCTTTAGCGATCGAACGCTCGATGTATCTATCTGCCTGCCGGCTTAAGCCTGCCTTTTTGTGCGAAGGTGCCATATGTAATATATATATATATACAGATGCATGCATGCACACGTGCATATATATATATATACATATATATATATATACATATGTATATAAATACATATATGTATATTCAATATATGTATATTCCTACATGTAATATATATATATATGCGTATATGTATAAACATGTATATCCGAAATACATTACATGCATGCATGCATACATGCATACATGCATACATTACATTGCATACATACATACATACTTACTTACATACATACATACATACATACATACATGCATGCATGCATGCATGCATGCATACATACGTACCTATATACATACATGCACACACACACCCTACTTACGGCTCTCTTAAAACCTTGCGGACACCCGGCGTCAGGATTTTCTCAAACTCTTGGAAGCGATCGAGCCTGAGACTCTGATGAGGCGGAAGCTGAGATTACCCTGACCTTCCATCGGGGTTTAGGGTTTAAGAGTTTAGGGTTTAAGGGTTTAAGGATTTAGGGGTTTAGGGCTT